GATTTCTCGCAAGATTTGACTTTCCTAGCCGCAGGAAACTACCGCCATATCTCACGAACCAGAAGTCGCAATTTGATAAATGTATAGTGTTTCTAATAGGAAATTTTAAGATCTTTTTAAAAGATTCAGTGACATTTTTCCGTGGGATCGATATTTTTCAAGATATAAGCTAAAAACCGGTCGCCGGCGGCGTATTTTGGCCCCCCGCCCCCCCTTTTTTCAAGATGGCGGCCTTAGCGGACGGCCGATTTTGGTAAACTTTTGATATGTTGTTCTGGTAGCCTAATGCAACATGTTTCCGCAAAAAAACCTTCTATTTATGGATTTTCCCAGATGACCCTTATTTAGAGCTAAATTGACTGGACTATAGTTTATATAGAAGTTATTTGTAAAAATGCTTTATATAACCGTTATACTTCAGTTATACGTATTTTTTATAAGTACGCTCTTTGTATGTATTTTATACAACCGTTATATTTTGATTATACATTCGTTATATATAAATACAGTGGACTCTCGATAATTCGAAAACCTCGTTAATTCGAAGGAAAGTCTGTTTCCCTTGAAAATCTCTCGATAATTCGAAGAAAATCAATGTATTTTTCTCCCCTCGTTAATTCGAAATTTTAAAGCTGGCTTAGCCCTCTATAATTCGAAATTGCGACGAAAATTCTCTCTGTAATTCGAAATGTGGGAAGTAAGTATGGCCCTCCCTCTATAATTCGAAATAAGACGGTACATTCCCTCTACAATTCGAAGTCAACTGTTCATGTTCCTGGGTGTCTGAAAGAGCTTGACCTTTGAGCTAAAGACCTTTAGGCGTAAATCCGTCCATTTGCCCCTCTATAATTCGAATTCAGATGGCGCCTTCCCTCTATAATTCGAACCTCTCTAATTCGAAATTTTTCTACATGGAATCTCTTTAATTCGAACTCTCTTAATTTCGAAACCTCGCTAATTCGAAGAAAAAGCCGATTCCCTTCAATTTCGAACTATCGAGAGTCCACTGTACGCTCTTTATATAACGGTTATACTTCGTTTATATACTGTGAATTTAGCTCTGCTACTAGGGCCGGTTCAAATTATCGGAGAGAAAAAAATAAAAGGGGAAAATTTACCAAACTGTAAGCACATTTAAGTAAAAATCACTGCTATCACTGCAAAGTAATTTGAAGGGGGGGGGGTTAGGATCCCCAAATACGTCAATTCAAGGGTCATTCGATTTTCCCTCGCAATGACCCAATTTGCCCCAACTATGCCTCAACATTATCTCCGTAAGTTCATAATTAGTTCAACATTGCGTTTTAAAGTCCACAAATTTCGGGCAAAGTTAAAAAAAAAAAAAAAATGTAGTGATTCAATTTGACCGTTTAAATTACTTTTTTTTTAACTTTGCCCGAAATTTGCGGACTTAAAAACGCAATGTTGAACTAATTATGAACTTACTGAGATATTGTTGAGGCAAAGTTAGGGAAAATTGGGTCATTTCGAGGGAAAATCGAATGACCCTTGAACTGACGTATTTTGGGGTCCGAACCCCACCTTCAAATTACTTTGCAGTGATATCTGTGATTTTTACTTAAAGGTGCTTACAGTTTGGTAAATTTTCCCGCTTTATTTTTTTCTCTACGATAATTTGAACCGGAGTTATAATTTTTGGAAAATAGGTCAAATTTGACCTTTGACCGATCATAACTCGGTAAAAAATTAAGATACTGATTTGCGGTTTGCGCCAAAATTCTTGATTTTTAACGGCCTTTTCAATGGTGTATCACAAGGTAGGTGTTACCACTTGAACAAAAAAAGTTCAGGGCCTCCTCCCCCGAGGGAGGGGCAAAAATTTTGACCCTCCTAGATGATCCCCTTTAAGATAGAGGCATTCCCAAAGTTTCGTTTTTCTATCTCAAACCGTTCAAAAATTATCGGGGGGGAGGGGGGGGGGGTGCGGATTTTTGGGACACCCTGTAGAAGTTCTTAGAAAAATGTGATGAATATTGTACAATTAATGAATCAAAACGCTTTACGTTATCTGGTTACTTGGTATCACTGGTGAGAAATGACATTCCGAAAATGCAAGAATGCACTTAGATCTATTTAATTTCAAAATGAATTTTAGTCTCAAAAAATGACTCTCAAGAAACTAGTCTAGAGATGGACGAAATTAAAATTATTCTGTTGATAACGAGACAGAATTATATGCTTTCCCGTCCCTGACTGAAAATCAACAATGAATAAATATTCGGGGAGTAAGGAATTTTATGGCAGCAACTTAAATAAGTACTTTCTAGGATCAAAAAGATTATTTTTAAAGATAAAGCTGAGGAACCGAAAACTTTTCAAAAAATCTCAAAAAATAGGGGGAACCAAAATTGCTTTGAGACGATCAGCTTTACAAAGATCCATAGAGACTACTTACGTGGGCCTCTGTTGGTGCCATACTGCTTAGCACTGCTGTTTAGACTACAACTATAGGAGCTTTTTAAGGCAAATAATTTGATTACATTTTGCAATAAGGAACCAATATTTCTGGCCCACTTTAGAAACAGCGTACATGCCATTGGTTTCACTATACAGATATGTGATTTTACGGGAGAGCCAGAAATGGTGGTTCCTTATCGTAAAATGTAATCCAATTAAGTATTTCTGGGGCAAACACGTAGTCACAGATGAAATTCAAATTTGGTCGAAAAAGCAGGCAGAACCAAAAAATTTTCATTTAGTTACCTTAATAAGGATTCATAGAAGCTACTTAAGCACGTTATTGGTGGTGTCACATGCCTCGAAAAATTTTAAGACTACTGCGGATTGATTAATTGCTAGCCTTGCCAAAAAGCATCATTTTAACCACCGACTAGTGGACTTGATAAATTCTATTTCTCGAGAAAAAGCAAACCAAAGCACAAAATATTTCTATTGTAGCTTCCCAAGGATGTGTAAAAGGTACCTAAAGGTGTCTCCACTACTGACTTGTAGTGACTTTTTTATAAAATGAAAGTATTTTGAAAAAATCGGTAGGGGAGAATCGGGTAATGAGAGACTGACAGGGTAAAGAGAGACCTACCCCCCTACTTCTGAGCTCCCTGTTTGAGTAAAAAAATTGAAAAAATCAGGGTACATTCGTTACCTTATGAGAACTTATTACCCAAAGTTTCATTTCTATCACTGCAAAAGAAAGTACTTTTTTTAATTTTTATTTTTTTTCGCATTTTTCATGTCTCTCTTTACCATTACAGACAAAAGAGAGACCTGGTCTGGATTCCCTCTTATATTGCATAGGAAAAATATGGTAGGGCAATGAGAGTGTTCTACTAATAGAGTTTGATTACCATTTCAAATTTCAGATCAATCGGACCAAATCTGAATGAGTTACGGGGTTTTGAAATTTGACCATGGGAAGTTCACAATATCAATTCAAAAATTGAAATTTCAAATTTTTATCAAAGAGACAGAAAAAAGCAAAAATAGGGCTTAAATATAATCTAAATGGTATATAATGAAATTAAACATCAAAAAGTTGCTTCAGAGAAGATTTTGGCCTTGAAATTATGATAAAATTGGCCCGTGGAGTGGTTTCAGGGTAGGTACCAGTTATAAAATTTGATTTTTTCCTGATCTATTCTGATGTTAGAGGAATAATTGTCTGCTTAGCTGGCATTTTGACACTTGTCTCCAGGTCATATTTATCTAGAACATTGTGCAGAGGCACCTTGTTGAATGTGTGGGGGAGGGAGATTAGATAGTTAAAATTTCATTAGTTTTGGAACCCTCTACTTCTGGAGCAGAACTCATATATTTACTTTGAATTTGGAAGCCTTGAATCTTGTTTCTGTTGTCTTTCACTTATGTTTTTCCCAGTGAAACGAATCGAAACTGAAAATCTCTCATTACCCTGGAGAAAAAAAATCCCAAGTCTCTCCTTATCCTGGAAAAAGTATGACCCAGGATAAAGAGAGACTTTTCCTGCCAGACTTGAAAATTTGTAAGTGGCATAAAACAAAAAATATAGTCATATAGTACATATCCTAAGCTACAAAATGGTACAATTTTTTTTCTTTTTGGAGTAAAATTTACTTTCCAAAATCCACGAAAACTGCGGCACGGAACGAACTTAAAAACACAGTTCAAAAAAGAGGTTCTGTTTACATGCACTTCCCGCGGTCCGTTATCGTCCGATCCGGTCGGGAATTTGTGCAAGAACGTATAAATGGACCAAGAGTCCATTTCTTCTGGTTTCATTAATTAAATCTCAAACAGGCAGCAGCAGGAGCAAAAGTCTCCCATTACCCCGGTCTCTCTTTACCCGGTTCTCCTCTATTTTTTATGAAAAATATCCCATTTTTGGTGAAAAATAGCCTATTTTTTTATGAAAAATAGGTATCCAACTTTTACCTGGGGTAGAATGCCTCAGGAAAAATTGTAATTAGTGCGCTACAATTCTTTTAGAGTCCTCTACAAAATGGTACATCGAAGAACTCTGAGAGACAATTTCATGATTCAGGAGAGGCTCCAAATGCTTTGATAGAGATAGGCACTTTATGGGTTAGAAAATACATATTCGACTACTTGCACAGTTTGTGACGTTTTTGAAGGGACTACAATATTTTTTCAAGCATACAAGGTGTTGTTTATGATCCATAGATACTATTTTTACCAATTTTGACTAAAAAAAAAAATGTCGTCTAATTTCAGAAAAATCGAATTTTGAGCGCTCCCGAGCCAATTGGGACCATAGTGGGGAGGCAGCTTTGCCGCAAGGGTCCACAATACACTAGATCACGCGATAATTTATCGCGGGAAATTGTGGAAGGCCTTCTCGATTTATGGAACGTGATCACGCGATAAATTATCGCGTGAAAATGTGGAAGCGTCCCAAATTTTGTGGAAATTTTTCTTTCTTTCTTTCTTTTCTCGCTCTTCACTTCGAATCTCATATTCTTGTACCGAAACATTGTGGAAGAGTTTTCACATGTGTGGCCAGAATACTGAGGAAGGGTTTCCGTTTCCGGTCTCCACAATTTGACGGAATTATTGTGGAAAGGCTTTCCACAATCTTTCACAAAGTTAGAAGGGTTTCCACAATTTTCTACAGAATATAGAACACCCTGCATATCTCAATTCTTCCATCTAATCTTGTATCTAAAACTCTAAATACATTGTTATTGCGTTACCACTAATACTTGCGTTTGGTACGAGTCAACAACCCTCCTCGTTCCAAATTCCCCACCAAAAAAAAGAAAAAAGAAAAAAAAAATAAATAAAAAAGTCATCACTTTCTGTGGAAGGGGTCACGAAATTGTGGAAATTTTTTTCAATTTTTTTGTGGAAGAGGAAAAGCTTATTGTGCGAAATTGTGGAAGCATAGTACAATGTGTACCCCTGCTTGCCGCTCCCGTCAACTCTCATCCTCCATCCATTTTTCCGCTCATCTTTTTACTTCGCTCCCTATCTGTCTACGTTTCTTCTTTTTTCACTCATTAACTTTTCCAGTGCCTAAATTAGCCGCTATGTGCATGCACCCTAGTGCCCTGTAGGTAAATCCGGCCCTGATCAGAAGGGTGGCTTCATTTATAGCTGTGACGTAGAGAAGTACATTTCAACGCTTGGTACCACCTTCTGTATTTTCTCTATGATTGATTTTAATTAACTATAGGCTAATGTATCGTCATGATCCGTATGCATTTCGAAGATAATTTTGAAGTTTACCTAAGGGGTGCTGGCTTTCAACTTACTTTTTGACTTCTCTTTCTTCCTACTCAAAGGAGAATCTGTCAAGTACATACAAGTGTTGGTCTCAGTATCCCAAGTGCGGCTAGAAGAATCTAGAGATAGAAGAGTAGCAAGGTTATCCACTGATTCAACATTGATAGGAGCAATATCGCTGGGAACAGAAGCTTTGGGACGTGGTCCTTTCTTAGTCTTCTTCTTCTTCAGGTCTAGTTTCTTGGATGTTTTCTGTTTCTCACTGCATATCTGCCAATCTTCATCGTCATCACTCATCGTTTCAATGTAGGAGCTTTCCTTCCCAGTATTAGCAATTCGCTGACTTGCAATTCGAGAGCTATTCCGCTTCATTCCCATACAGCACTCTAGGTGGGGTGCGAATTTAGATGGAAGTATACGCCCTCGGTTACAATTGGGACATACACATTTCACAGCTTTTTTCAGATGCTGTGCAGCTGAGGTTACGGTCATGTCAGGAGTTGATTCAGTTAACAAGGGTTCATCGTTTTCAGGCGAATACTTCCCGAGGCTAGCATTGTGGTGAATTTCAAAGATGCACTCTAAGATAGATTCATCAAGCAAATTATCGTATACATACTTCGACACGTTATCAGCTGTTTCAGATTGTTGTAAGAACAGATGAACGAAGTCACTTTTCAGCCGATCAAGTTTTGAACAGTCTTCAGACATATTAACCACGCGTAGACACCAAAGCACGTGATAACTTGTTATTATCAGAGGCAAGAAAAATTACTAACTTTAGCGACAGATAGCAATGAATTAAGGTTTGTTTATCTACTAGCAAGGCGGATTAAGAATGGTGGTCGCATTTCGTACCCTCTGGACGTCACACTGTATCGGGCACATTGACGTATAATACAATCTACATGGGCCGGCCGAGGCCGGGGGGGTCGGCTCAACCTTGGATTGCACGGCAAAACCAGTACCCTCCTGACGTCACATCGCATCAAGATGGCAGCCAAAATCGAAATGCGACCACCATTCTTTATCCGCCTTGATCTACTAGAGTCCCTTTATACCCAGAGTTAGGCCTTGTCCACACGAGCGCAGTTCGTGGAACTTATTCCTCGAACTTGCTCAGTTCCAGAGATGGAAAATTTCATGAAATTTATTCGAGTGAAATTTCACGCGTGAAATTTCGTGAAATTTCATGAAATTTCACGAAATTTCATGAAATTTATTGAAACTTTTGAGGATACATTCAAGAGGCCAAGAAACGCCTAGAAACGGTGATTCTCGATATTGAGATTTTTCAGCCCCCCCTGACCTAACCTAACCTCACCACCCACTCTTCCAGCAGCTCAGTTTTTTATCACGAAGATTTCGGTGTCATGTCAGATGTCACTTATGTAAGTCATGGGTCCTTAATTTTCGTAAGTAATGCATCATTGACACTTGAGTGCCTCCGCTCCACC